TGCTGAAAATGGAGACTGGGAGGGCCACATGCAGCCCTCCCGAGCTCCATTTTCACTGGCAGAGGCACTGTGGGCCAGTCCGCTGTATCCAGGGCTGCCCTATGGGTGAGATCTAAGCACCCCATGGACCAAATCCAGCACGCGGGCCTTGAGTTTGACACCCTGGTCTAAAGGCAGACTAAATCTCATGTTAAATACTAAAGTATTAGAGTAGAAAATGTTACTTGCAATACTTAATAATCCCTTCTATACAATCCCTTAAGGTAGTCTTATAAAGCAATTTCAGCTATTTAGACATGCATTCTGTGGCATTTCCAATGCAGCCATGTCACAAATTTTGTGATACAATACAATACAATATTGTTACCTTGCACTGCTTAATTGTGTCATTTGTAATACATGGCTTCTTCTTAGGCTGGATAACAGTGTATAATACTTTATTACTTTTCGCACAGGTGCAAATGCCAAAAGGGCTATGCAGGTGATGGATTTGTATGCTATGGAAACATCATAGATCAAATTAGAGAGATGAATAACGAACCTGGAGGATATTGGCAAGGAAATCTGATATCTGCAATAGAACTTTTTGGTGGGTAAATCTAAAAAATGTAATTTAGAAACACAAAAACGTTTGAAATACATTGCTACTTATCAAAAGTCTAGATTTAAATGAATTTAGGGGGATACTAAAATCTCCTTAAATATAGCTGGATGTATTTGTGTCTGTCTGTCTGTCTTTTCTGTCTACTTTTGAGTCAGCGTTGACTCATGGTACTGCCTGAACAAGTCCCTCCAGTTTTATGGGACAGGTTTTCCAAAAGAATTTTACCATTACTTCTTTAACAGCAGGGGTGGGATTCAATTTTTTTTTACTACCGGTTCTGTGGGCATGGCTTTCTGGGCATGGCAAGGGAAGGATACTGCAAAATCCCCATTCCCTCCCCACTCTCAAAATTTCCGCTACCGGTTCTCCAGAACCTGTCAGAACTGGCTGAATCCACCTCTGCTTAATGGGGGCTGAGAGAGAGTGACTGGCGCAAGGTTACCCAGCTGGCTTAATTCTTGAGGCTCGTAGACCCCTAGATTGAGCCTGATGCTTTCACCATGATACACCGAACTGACTCTCTTAAACTCTACCAGCACCACTTTTTCAGTATTTTACAGGATGGGAACACCCAAGGGCTATAAAATCCATATGTATACTTATGGTAAACAGAGTAACGTTTTTTGAATGTTAACTGTGATACATGTGCAGTGTGTTGGGAGTTACACTACTGTAGTACATTTTAGTAACCTTGGTAATAAGATTGGAAAATTCAACCAAATTATTATTTTTTGAATGAACTTCAATTCTTGGTTAATCCTGTATTTTAAGTAAAAATTACTTTTTACCTCTATGATTTTATCTACATACCCATATTGTCTGTAAAATACAATGCCTGAAGAGTTCTTTTGTTTTAGTTACTTAATATTTACATAAATTCACAAGTCAATAATATATGTCATATACATGCCACTTGAATTATAATTAAAATTAAATATAGTTGTTTAATAATTTTCCCTTTCCCTTGTATTAAATATATATATTTGGAATAATTTTTTTTAAGATTCTGGGTCAGAGAGGTCAATGTCTTCATCCGTTCTAATACTTTCAATATTTCTATGTAAAGACCTAGTAACCTCTGGGTTTTTAAACTTAAAATCAGCATATCGTAAAAACATAAAAACATACCATAAAAATACAGTTCTATTCAGCATACATATCCGGATGGTCTTGACAAAAATATGCAAGAATCTTTGCCTAGGCCAGGGGTGTCAAACTCGATTTCGTTGAGGGCCACATCAGGATTGTGTTTGACCTCAGAAGGGCAGTGTGGGTGTGGCCAGCTCAATGTCACTTCTGTTGGGGACGTCTGTGTTGGCCTGAGCACTCCGCCAGTGAAAACAGGTTCCCGTGCTCCATTTTCGGCTGCCCCAGCCTCCTGCAACCTCAGGAGGCGGGGCAGCTGAAAATGGAGCTTGGGAATCTGTTTTCACTGGCAGAAGCACCACAGGCCTGTCTTTCGCTGTTTCGAGGGTGGCCACGAGGGCCAGATCTAAGTACCCCACGGGCTGGATCCAGTCCCTCAGCCTGGAGTTTGACACCCTTGTGCTAGACTTGAAGCATTTTTAAGCATTTCCAACAATTTATAGAAGCCAAATAACATTGAGAAGCAGCTCAGACACCTCCCTGATTCACTGAAGTATCAGAGGACATTTCGCTAGTTCTCCGGCTATCACGAAATGGGAAATGGAAGGAAAAGGCATGTTAGCTCATGAAGAAAACAGGAAAGATGGAAAGGAAAGAAGGAAAGG